GGACAGGGTCCCTGCTTGGCCATCTTTCTGTCGAGTGGAAAAGAAGAAAAGATGGCCCATTTTAGGATTTTTTCTTTTCATGAAACACCCCAACTATTTTGCTTAAATCTCTTCCCAACAATGGTGTTGCATATTTTACACCTTTGATATAGCTTTCCCATTTACAAATCCAGAGGGATTATATTTTGAACATCCAAGCTTATTCCTCCAAGCCCTTCACTCCTATTGAGAGTGCCTACTGTGCTGGGAGGCAGGACATTAGCACAGACTTTAAATCCTGTGACGGTCAGGATCAAGTTAGTACCATTAACTGTGCTACACTTATATGTCTGATTCCCAGTTCTAATGCTGCATCTTGCATTTGTAGCTCATGAAATCATCTGTTTTTCCTAGCTTGTCAAACTGAAGTAGATTTTTCAGTCTACAAAGTAAGTTCATGCAATGGCCCTTTTTATGTGTACACTCTCCATGAGGCCAGCCTGCAATTAAGCTCACACATCCCACTCACTTTTTGGGTATTTGTGACCTGGTTTTCAATACCACCTTGACTTTTTTCCCAGTGTATCATGTATCTGAACCAGCTACCACTTCTTTAAGTTGATATTTTTTCAAAGTAAATACATAAACATTCTTTTAAGACAGAAAGAATTAGTAAGATGAAAATCAGAAGTAGGAAAATACACAGTGCATTTCAAGGCAAAATGTAGTCACTTTGTTGCACTAGTCTATTGCCCACAGCATTACTCCATTCCTGCAGCAGGAATAACCATGCAGAACAGTTCATTTATCATCTGGACTTCTGAAAATATTCTTAAATCCTCATGTTATGTAGTCTCACAACCTTCCAACGTTCTCAGACTCCACAGACTCTAACAATCCTAGACTTTTTGCATCCATTTGATGACATGAACCCATTTTGAGTTTTTATAGTTTTGAATGTGGTTTGAGGTATGGATTAGGAGTGGTAGTTAGCTGGCACAGGGAGGCAAGTGGGAGAAAGGGAAGGAGAAGCAGAAGAATGAGTCAGGAAAGGACAGGGAGCTCAGAAGGGGAGGCAGGTGAGTGTGGGATGATGAGGGAAGAGTGAGCCACACACAGGGTGAGAACAGCCACTGAGTAGCCACACACCTGAGTATGTTATGTGCATGTCTCATTAAACTCCATTTTGATGTCATTCCTATGATTTTCAGGTCATTATCCCTATTCCAGAGGTGAGCAAATCTGTCATCTTTCTGCCACACTATGTGGCTCCAGGGCAGGCATGGGAAACAGGATGCTGGAACTATATGTTCCAGCATTTAACCACCTGAAGCTATCAGATACTAGAACTCCAGGAAATGAACAAATATTTTAACCATTTTTATCCTTAATATTCAGAATGTATGTTCTCAAACATGCTCTCTAGAAGCTCTTCAGGTTGTTACACAACACTGATATTCTTGGTAAATACCAGCATATAGTGGTAGGAAGGTGTTCACTCAATCGTTTTGTCCATCTGTTCATCCGCTAGTCATAGCAGA